GTTGCACTAACTTCCTTTGTAATCAACACCATAAACACCACTGCCACCATCATCGACATTCTCTTCAATCCTTCCATGTTAGTTTGTCGTATTATTATATTGCTCGTACGTGTTCGATCAAATCTCTCTTCGAAAAATTAGCTTATTAATTAGTACAATATATCAATCGTAGGAATACAATGCTATGCTATATATAATGTATAAATAAAAGTTAACGTTTTTATGAAGACAAATGCAGGTGGCTTAAACTTTGCTTTGCAACTAAGGGATTATAGTTGCTGTTACTGTGCTAAGATTATTGACAGACTATCACCATCATAGTTGGTTGTATGAACTTTCTGGGAGTCTCAAAATCTCAATTTTTCTAAAGGTATTTATTATTTGAAAAGATTTCTTGCTTAATTTGAAATTTTATCAGATTATATTATACATTATTCATTTTTCCTTGCTTCTTTTTGAATTTGGTATGATTTGGGGTTTAATATTTGCAAGTTTATTAGTCAATTTGGTGCATGATTTTATATTTGTATTCTTGTAAAATACTCTGTACTCATTTATCTATTTTATTGCTGAAACATTTTGCATGAGTAGATAATAGACAATGGTAAGAATGAATTCCAATCAAAGCAAATTCCGTGTATACCGTTTAAGTCGTCTAACCCCATAACACTCCTTAGATAACATATACTGATATACAGTACAATAAGCTCAAGTAACATAATTTTTAAAAATAAATACTACGTAGATCTAAAGTTAATACCCACTCACTTATTTAGACAAAAATTAGTCTTTTTTTTTTTCTTAATGTTTATCTAATTATAATTCAAATAAGTTTAAATAATTTTAGACAAATTTAAATAATCCAAAATAAGTTGAATTGATTGAGCAATCAGACACCAATCACTTATTCTATATGTAAATAATTACTCAGTAGATGTAACCTAATTCGCATTAATTAATTGGAGTACTTCATCCCTCAACGATAGATGACATCTTAACTATGGCTTATGGGGTAGCTATTTGGTTTTCTACTTTCTACCCCCGGAGCTCAACGCCTAAACAGGGCCGGCTTAGGACCTGTGCAAATAGGCCCTTAGCACGAGGCCTCAAAGTTTAAAGGGCCCCAAAATGACCTTCATTCCCCTATAACTACTACGCTGTACTTGTAATTAATTTAGCCTTCTATTACTTTGGTTCTTCCGCCTTCAAATCAATATGACCTTAATTATCTCTCTTGGAACCTTTATTAATTATCTCTCTAGCTTCTTTTCCTTTGGACGCCACTATGCTTAAATGCATGATCACAATGGGACTCAAAGTTGATGTTTGAAATATTCCCTACATCATCAGATCATTATTAATTAGTCTTTAATCAAACATTGATCTTAGTTTTACTATACTTGATATGACCTCTGGATCGGAAGAAGGCAATATTTAAGGCAATTTTAAACAGATATTTGGCATGATGTAGAGATAAACACATGTATTATTATCGCAAGTATGGAGAATTGAAGACATTTATCACATTCACGTGAAGACTTGAAGGTGCAAATTCAATTTAGGAGGATCGAAGACCATGGAATGGTATTATGAAACATACATGAGAAGATACCCAACCATATTGGATTTATTGCTCTAGAAGATCTTATGTTATGTATTTATCAGGGGGAGAAAATACGCGCTGCACTATTTTTTCCTTGACCATGGTTTTACCCCACATTGGGTTTTCCTATTAAGGTTTTAACGAGGCACAATCTTTAATAATGGACATCCAAGGGATAGTGTTATGAAATATTTGTGAATGCCCATTATATTCCCGTACTCTATGGAATATTCTAGGTTTAGGGTTTAGTGTTTCCTAAGAAAACCCTAACTATTGTATATGTGTATATATCCCTTACTTAATAGAATAATACTCTGATCTATTGTCTCCCCAATCTCTCTCCTATTCTCTTTATTTTACAACATTCAAAGACTAATTAAAAAAATAAGTTTAATTACGATTTGTTAGTAAAAATTGTACATTTTATATTAAGGGCCCAATTATTTTTACCAGAACAGGGCCCCGAAAATGATTAAGACGGCCCTGCGTCTAAAGGGTTCCATTTGGCCACTAAGCTTGTCGTATCCAAACAAAAATTTCCCCATTTTGAAGAATAAATAGCCTTCACGCTACTCATCCACTACCAATATTGGTTAATTAATGGCCATGCACCAATTAAGTAAGATTAAACATATTTGAAAAAGTAATAATCGAACCGAAAACAAATTCAACGAGATTTCATCATTTGTAAGTATTTTTGGTAAACGCTAATATGAAAAAAAAAAGATTAAAAATTAAGAAAAATGCACGTTATACTTGAAAATCTTACTATAGGTGAAGAGAACAAGTCATCAATATATATGCCCACTCCCTTTTGTCCTTGTTCTAAAATTCAATCTACTTGATTGGTGCATCAACTTCTCGATATTATCAAGTTCACCCTAGACCTGAAAACCTTTGTAACTTTCAGTCTCAACCAGTCGAGGTTTACACGGAACAAAATTTGGCTTAAATTCACTGTGCATAACTTTAGAAAGTCAAAATCATGAATTTTTTCCACCACTTCATGTAAATGGGTGATTTGATTAAAAAAATATAACTTTAATACTATATGATTTTATTTTAATCAAAGTCACATTTTTTCCATGTAGTAGGACAAAAAAATTAGGGATTAAGGGAGTAGTCATTTCGCTTACCATATTTGGCCATATTGTAATACAAGGGTGGCCACAAATCCATAATGGCATTTATTTCTAGTGGGGGAACGTACAAACAAAATTGCAATCGATAGATGAAAATTAAATATAATTAAAGCAATCAAGGAATCTATACTAATATATTAAACCTCTAATTCTAAAATTAAGTGTCTTACCACCAAAGTATGTGTTTTTTTTATGTAATCTTTTGAATATAAAATATTAATATGTAGTAAATGATAATATGAACAATAAATTTAATTACAAGAAAATTGAATCATAAATTAAAACATATATTAATGATCAGTTTTACGTAATAATCCGAGACATCACCCGGACTCAAAAACTAGTTGTATATTTATATGCTGCATTTTGAAAGTGACTCGGTGATTGTGATTTGTTAAAGAAGAAGATTATATATGAAGACATTAACTTAGCCTATGACTTGGTCTTCCAACACTACCACGAACTTCACGACAATATTGGACCATTTTTACAACGTTAGAATTTTACAATTTTTTCCACTACATGTAACTTTTCCACTCGATTATATTCCTCTCTAATCCGAAATTCAACCCCCAACATTCCACATTCTAATTGGCGTAACTCTGTAAGGGTGCCAAAATCTTTGATCTTCCCTTTTTTCTTTAGTCATCTGCGTCAAAAAGGTTGACATGGTACTATACATTACAGGATAATTTTGCTACAGAATTTTGGGATATGACATGAAATATTGTCGCTTAAATGGACATGAAATTTTACTTTGATTACCGCTATATTAGATTAACACTACTAGAACACAAAAATAGAATTTAACTATTGTAATAATATTTAGGATTAATTTGATAATAACACCACAAAAAAGACACGATTTTGATAATAACACCAAAACAAGCCACAAAAAAAAAAAAAAAAAAAAAAAAAAAAAAAAAAAAAAAAACAACTTTTATTATAACACCACAAAAAAAAACCAAAAATTTGATTTCACTGCCACTTAACGGATTTTTGGTGGAATCCTTACTGGGGCCCACAACAGATATGTATCACTAAACTATTGGTTTATAAAAATTAATAAAAAAGTATAAAAAAAAAATCCTAAACAACCTAACCCAGCCGAGGCCAGCCCCACCAGCAGCACCACCTGTCCCCCACCGCCGGCACTCCTGCCCCACCAAAACCGGCGAAACCCACTGCAAATCACCACCTACCCACTGCAAATCACCACATCCCTCAACAACAGCAACTTCACCATTGAAACCCCAATCGCCGAATTGAAACCCTAGCACCTTTGAACCACCGCAAACAATAACCACAATCACAACCAATTCGAACCCCATCACCTTCAAACCACCGCGAATACCAACCACAATCCACCGAATCGGTGCGAATCGGTATTTTCAGTGGTTCAAAGGGGTGGGAATTGGTTTTGTGCAGTGGCGGAGGTGGTTGCGGGGTTGCTCGGTGCGGATTTGTGGTTGGAGATATGACGCTACCCGGCTGGGGTGGTTTTCGGGGAGGGGGAAGAGAGTAAGGGCTGGTTTCGGCAGTTTTGGTGGGGGGTGGAGGTTCCGGCGGCTTGGATTAGGTTGTCGGCATGGATGGGGAAAGGTGGTGCCGGTGGTGGAGCTGGCTGGGTTTAGGGTTTTTTTCTCTTTATTTTTTTTAATTTTTCTATTTATTTTTTTTAATAATTTTTTTTAAAACCAATAGGTAATTGACACATGTCAGTTATGGCCCCATTAACGGATTCCATCCAAAAATCCGTTACGAGGTGGTGAAATCAAATTTTTAAGTTTATTTGTGGTGTTATTATAATTTTATTTTTTTTTCATCATCAAAATTTGGGTTTTTTTTTTCTTTCTAAAATTTCCTAATATTTAGTTTTAAGAAGAAAAAAACAATTAGAAATTCCATGTATGTGTAGAGATCAATTGTCCCACTTCAAAAGAGCGGTAAGAAGGTGACTATTTTATAAAGTTTGTAGGATTCTTCTTATATTGTCATGTGGTTTTAGAATACAGCTTTCCTTATCCCGTGCGTTAGTTGCCTCTCATACTATCCCCAATTCTTGACTCAATACCAAATGTCGTATGAGAAGTACCCGTAACATAAGATTGAATCTCTTCCACGCTATTTCCTTTTACAAGAAAAACATGTTGAATTTCTAAGAATTCAGTAATCTTTGTGGAGTCAAAATTTTCTACCACACTTGAAACGCAACATACATGGAAAGAAATAAAGAAATGATACTCTATAGACTAACTTAACAAAAGAAAGAGTCCAAGGTAGGCCCTTTCTTACCATTCCACTTCATTTCTTGGCCACAACAGTCAACTTAATCTAATTAAAAAGAGTTATACCATTCAATTTTCCTGGAATTTCATTTTAGTCTTGTTTGTTCATCACTCGTTTTCTTCTTCTTCTTCAAACCACCACAATCTTCATTCAGCCAAAAAGTACTACTAGTATAAATAGTTGAAAGAATTAAAGGGGTGATCCCAAAAAAACCAAAAAAAATTTAGAAAAAAAATGAAGAAAATTAAGCAAGTAAAAATGGAGAGTACAAGGAGTTTCTCAGAGCTAGTGCTAGAGCTTGTAGCATCTGCAGATGAAGTGGTTTCTCTAGCAAAAGACTCGGAAATCGACACGGAAGTTTTAAGTGAGTTTGCTATCTACATTGAGAAGCTTTCGCCTATCTTAGACACTCTAAGAGAAGATAAGATTATCATGGACACTCCAAGCATAAGGTCTGCCATAGGGTCCTTAGAAGCCGAGCTTCAACGAGCTCGTAACTGCATTGTTAATAGGAATTCATGCTCGAATGATCATCGTTTCGATGTCATCCAACAATTAACTCATGATCTTGGGAGATCCTTAGGCCTTTTGTTGTTTGCTACCATTGGGGTGTCCTTAGACTTAAAGGACAAACTTGGGATTTTGCATAAGGAGTTGATGAATGCTAAGTTTGATCATTCTTACTGTTGTTCGTCGAGTGAGAGTACTAGGGAGATTGTTGAGGAGATCATGAATGAAGAACAGATTTACCGCGAAAAAGAAGAGATTATGATCATAGAAAGAGAGGATGTTGCATTACAACTTAAGTATGGAAATGATGATGAATTTAAGAATTCTCTTTTGGGATTAGAGATAATGATTAGGGATAAAATCGTTGATTGCGAGTGGATTACTGATGAAGGTATAATCCCCATTTTGTTTAATCGAATGGGTTCGAGCAAATGTATTGATAGATTAAGTATAATCAAGGTGCTCAGAAGCATTGCACATGAAAATCCTCGAACCAAGGTACTTACTCTTTTTTATTAATTTGTTAAACTGTTTTTTGGTTTTTTTTCCTAGTGTAATTAAGCACAGTTAGATTTTGTACTAATTAAGTTTAACAGGAAAAAATGGCAGATATTAATTCCCTAACAACATTGGTGAAGTCCTTGGCTAGAGATGAGATGGAACGAAGAGAAGCAGTTGGATTGCTGATGGATCTTTCTCAGCTATCTTCAGTTCGACGAAGAGTTGGGAGGATCCAAGGGTGTATAATTATGTTGGTGGCTATATTAAACGGGAGTGATCCAATTTCATCAAATGATGCAGGGAAATTATTAGCTGGTCTCTCATGTAATACTCAAAATGCTCTTCTTATGGCTGAGGCTGGCTATTTTCATCCTCTAATCCAGCATCTTAAGGAAGGTATAGTATACTATTACTTTCCTAACTTATTTCTTTTGAGGGAAAAGATTATTGCATTAATTAATCAAGAGACAACTTCTTCATGAGTACATTCGAGGATACATCTTTAGGACCGTGGTTTTCCCAAACCTACTAGTATTTTCCTAGCTTCTTTAGCAGCTTTACTTCCTTTTCTTCTTTGCTCTTTGTTCTGTTTCCCCTTAAATCTTTTTCAAATTTCAAGGTTGCTTTAATTTTTAGGATAAGATCGTTTTTAAGGTTGTTAATTATATAAAGAGCTGAGTTACTTGTAACTTGGGCAGCCTGATTTATGACTGAGATACGTTACAAATTACATATCACAGGTTCTAATTTGATATTCAGGGAAATTACAGGAAATATCAATGTGTAGGCAAAACTTGAAGGTCTAGATTAAAAAAAATCAAGCTGTCAAGAACTTTGGCAAAGTTAGTATAGTAAAGCAACTTGTTAAGCACATTTCTTTATAAAAGACATGTTTTACACCTTTGTATTGTGGCCAAATTAGCTGTTTTCATCTAAAAGATTCAAATGGATATCATTTCACTGAGATACTTTTCTTTCAAAAGAAGCTTAGGGAAGAATCCCTGGATTTGAATCAAACTTTAAACTTTGGAAGGTGGGGCTGAGATCAAGCTACTTTATTGCTTTATAGAGCAAGTACCATACAACTTTACTGCAGTCTGACTACTCTTTTTAGGATCTAGGGACCGAAGAGATTTAACTGTAAGTTAGATTGAGCAAACTTTATTAAATAAGGATTGCATATAGTAGTATACTAACACTTTCAGTTTATCAAAAATTATTTTCGGCTGTGTTCAGTTTAGGGAAAACATTCTATACTAATTTTATTTTCTACTGAAGATATACTTTGATGGAAACTCACTGAAGGTAAAGGCTTGAAAACATTTTCCAGCATACCATCCTCTATTCAATGGGTTGCAAATGATGGAAAACAATATACATTGTAGAAAATATATTTCATCACCGAAAAGCTACTTTCAGTTTGAAATTATATATTCCACCCTTCAAAATTGAAAATGGAAAAATGGATTCTCTCCTAGGAAAACATATCCTTCCAGCCAAATAAAATCATAATTACTTAACAGTCTGACTTAGGTGGAAGGCTTCTTGTTCTGCTGAACTTAAGAATAGTAAATAAAATGGACTATTGATTGCAGTATTAATGTAACAGGCTCTACTTGCTGTTATGAATTGGTAGTATGAATCTGTAGTTTGAGTGACTGTAAGTAAGAAAATCTTACACTAATATGATGAAAGTCATATATTCTTGCAGGTTCAGAAATGAGTAAAATTCTAATGGCAACTGCACTTTCAAGAATGGTATTGACAGAAAAATCTCGAGCCTCACTTGGAGAAGACGGTGCAATTCAACCATTAATCATCATGTTTAAGACAGGAAAGCTTGAAGCAAAGCTTTCAGCCTTAAATGCTTTACAAAATCTTTCCCTCACAACCAAAAATATATCGTACATAGTTGATTCCGGTGTCCTCCCTCCTCTGCTTCAGCTCCTTTTCTCTGTTACTTCTTCTCTCATGAGCCTCCGGGAACCTGCATCTGCTATCCTTGCAACCATATCATGTTCGGATTCTGTTCTTGAACATAGAGATTTGCCTGATCAACTTCTGTCACTTGTAAACTTGTCTAGTCCAAAAATCAAGTGCAATATCCTTCTAGCTTTAAACAACATTCTTTCTCAGCCTGGTGCAGCTGAAGTTACAAGCAAAACAACCCAAAATGGTGCTATGCAGCTTTTGATTCCTCTTATCAATGAAACCGACACCAAAATAAGAGTGGCAGCCTTGGATCTTTTATTTACCATATCGAATAATGTATCCATTGAAGAAAGTTATCTTCCAAACATAGTGAATATAATCTCATCTTCATCGTCAGAGGCTGAAAAGGCAGCTGCAATTGGTTTGTTGAGCAACATTCCTCTTTCTGATAAAAAGGCAACTGATATACTCAAAGGGATGAATTTGTTGCCTATGCTAGTCTCGTTAATTGGTTCTTTGAGATCTTCAAGTTCAACCACCACTGCTCAATGTTTAGAAGAAAGTATTGCAAGTGTTTTTATCAGGTTTACACTACCTTCAGACAAGAAACTACAAGTCTATGCAGCAGAAATGGGAGTTATACCTATTCTAATAAAGATCCTCTCACATGGATCAATTAAAGCCAAATCAAGAGCTGCAACATCGCTAACTCAGCTATCACAAAATACCCTTTCCTCTAAAAGGGTTAGGAATTTGAGGTGGGGTTATTGTGTTCCTACGCCTACTGCAGATGGATTCTGTGAAATCCACAGTGGATATTGCAGTGTGAAAGGAAACTTTTGCCTAGTAAAAGCTGGTGCTATTCCTCTTCTGATCCGTATTTTGGAGGGAGATGAAAGAGAAGCTGATGAAACAGTGTTAAAAACCATTGCCACTCTACTGCAGGATGAAATTTGGGAAGATGGAAGCAATTTCATAGCTAAAATATCAAGTGGAGTGGAGGCTGTTATTAGGGTGTTAGAAGTAGGAAGTGTAAAGGCTAAGGAAACGGCACTATGGATATTGGATAGAGTTCTTCGGATTGAAGAATTTAGATCGAAGTATGGAGGTTCAACTCAAGTGTTGTTAATCGATCTTGCTCACAAAGGGGAGCCTTCTTTGAGACCCCTGGTGGCTAACATATTGATGCAGCTTGAATTGTTACAAGATCAATCCAGCTACTTCTAGTCATATTTTTTGATAGGATACATTATATAATATTTTGCTCTTTATTACTCCTGTATAACTGTTTTTTAATGCAGTAGATTGGATCATTTAGGCTTGTGAGCATATATAATAGAGGAAATGTAAGGAAAGATATATATCGATGGATGTAAATAATGTGTACACTGTAATGCATAAGCACAAGCATGCAATAGTTGAGCATGCACACGAAATCAGTTGTATGAAAGAAAATGAAACGATTTGGAACCTTTCATTAAAATTTTACTAATACTTGTATATTTCATTTGAATTCTAATCCCATTAAATTTATGAGAATTAGCAGGGAAGCAGGCATAAAAAAGTATATTTCTTATAAACATGAAGAATGAGAACATGGCTGTGATACTATTTTCTAAGCAATGGCTATGAGATTATGTTACAAGATAAATCAAGATGAATTGTACCATTTAACAGTGTACGACTTTATGATACACGAAGCAGCATCAAGCACCAATGCAAGCACCTATTATCTTCCAAAGAAAGAAGAAAAGTCTACTTCAACATACAAGAAGGTCAAGAAAAACAACACCATCATGGCAATCAATTCCACAAACTGAACTCTTTTCAAAATAGTTTAAAAGCAGGAAGAACTGACCAGCAGAACAACCTTTTCTGCTTGCTGTATTTAGTAAGGTTCAATTCTCTGACTAAGATCCAATTCTAGAAAAGATGATGATCATGATGGATTCCATTGCCCCGGCCATGCTTTGTTCGAGAAATAATGTACTCTGTAGAATTGATGCAGAAACCCCTATGTTTATATGAGCACAAATGCAGAGTTTTAGAACGCTATCACTTCAATTCTCCATGACATATGTTATGTATGATAGAAATCACATAAGGTTTATTGTGCAAGAAATGCTGGCTAATTGGAATCAAACTTCAGTCATGAAAGTATTACTTACAAAGCAAGGAACTAAAGTAAAGAAATCAGCTAAAACCAAGCATATGATAGAAGAAAACTCGAAATTGTGAGTTGAAATCTCTCAATCATTTGTCCTCAGATGTGCTCCAATCCAATAATTGGATTGCTGCATAAACTTGATCATAACAAAAATACGAAGCATTTAGCATTTACCAAGTGATAGATTATGCAAATAATCTATTTATGTATATATTGTTTTGTAATTATCTTTGATAATTATCTCTTGTATATGGTAATTATCTTGTGTATAGTTTCCTAGCTTAACCTAGTCTCCTCTCCCCACAGCTCGACTTCGCAAGCGTGCGATACTCCCCCCAGCACCCAGCAGCGTGGCTTTTTGCCACCTCCTGCTATCCCCGCCGGGTTACCAGCGGGTGCTGGCATGGGGGACGTCCACCTTCACGAGGAAGAGCAGCGTGGTTTCATACCATCCTTCTCATCCATGTAAATCACGCGTAAACAATAACATTCTCATTAGCTTGAATTACAACATGTAATTCATGATTGCGGAAGCGTTAAAGTGTAAAATTTACCTCCAGCCATTGCAGGAACTACGAGGAAGATGAAGATGAACAACCTCATTGCGGCGCCGAAACCGAATTTGATCTCCTTTTGTAAATTTGGTGCTGAACCCTCAGTCTCACTTAGATGACGTTTGTTTTTTTAGAGTTGGATGTAGTGACCTTTTATAAATTACACTCACAATTTCTATCTACAATTCTACATATATGGGGAGTTTTGCCATAAAAAAACCCTCATTACATGAGAGTTGGTTGTAGTGGTTCTAAAAAGGTAGATAAGTGGTTGGACTAGTGGTAATCAGTTTCCTTGATCATGGGAAACTATTTACCAGGATAAATGGAACACTTAATTGAAATTGATTATTATTATTTTTTATTTTTTTTAATAATCCAACATTCTCCCACTTGGTCCTTTTTTAAAAGAAAACTCAACATATGAATCATAGCGACGAATTCCCTAATAGCGAGAACTAATTTTCCATGTATCACAATATATTTAGTTTTCCATCACTCATACAACTAAATGAGTAAATCTTATGTTCACTCTAGGTCAAACAAAAACGACATTTCTTATTGAATTAACCAAAAAACCAAATGTACGTACATAAATGCAAGAAATATCAAAACTGAATGCAACAAACGAATGTTTCACATGACGGAACCAAGTCCCATCCTTTGTACATGACCCTTGAAACCATTAACTGGCATGCCTTTGGTCAAGGGATCAGCAATCATCAAGTCAGTGTTAATGTGTTCTATGATCACTTTCTTTTCGTTTACGGCTCGAAACTTAATGTCAATGTGTTTGCTTTTACTTCCACTCTTATTATTCTTAGCCATAAAAACTGCAGCTGAATTGTCACAATACATCCTTATTGGGCGAATAATAGAGTCAACAACTCTTAACCCAGATATAAAACCTTTTAGCCAAACACCATGTGATGTAGCCTCGTAACAAGATATAAACTTAGCCTCCATAGTAGAAGTAGAAATTAAGGTCTGCTTTGCACTAGCTCCTCCAAGAAACAGCACCATCGGCTAGCATGAACACATATCCTGAGGTGGATTTTCGTGAGTCAATGCAACCACCGTAATCGGAGTCTGAATAACCCACAACTTCTAGATCTTCTGTTCGTTTATACATAAGCATGTAATCTTTGGTACCCCTGAAGGTATCTCAACACTTTCTTTGCAGCCTTCCAGTGATCAAGACCTGGGTTACTTTGATATCTTTCCAATACTCCAACAATATATGCAATGTCAGGTCTAGTGCAAACCTGAGCATACATAATGCTTCCAACAACTGAAGCATGTGGAATATTTTTCATTTCTTCTTTTTCAATGTCAAACCTGGGACATTGGTCCAAACTGAATCGATCACCCTTTACAATAGGTGCTACACTTGGTGAACAATTTTTCATATTAAATCTTTTAAGCACTTTGTTGATGTAGGTCTCTTGAGACAAACCCAAAATGCCTCGAGATCTATCTCTATGGATCTTATTGCCAATGACATAAGATGCCTCACCCATATCTTTCATAACAAACTTGCTTGAAAGAAATTGTTTCACCTCATATAGCAACCCTTTATCATTAGTTGCTAGCAAAATATCATCCACATATAATACAAGAAAACAGATTTTAATCCCACTAACCTTATGGTATATACATTGATCCATGATATTTTCTTCAAAACCAAATGAAATAATCACTTCATGGAACTTCATATACCATTGGCGGGAGGCCTGTTTTAATTTAGTCCATATATGGATTTATTAAGCTTACAAACCATATGCTCACCCTTTTCTGAGATAAATCCTTCAAGTTGTCTCATATAAACCTTTTCCTCTAAATCACCATTCAGAAATGCAGTTTTCACATCCATTTGATGTAACTCAAAGTCAAAATGAGCTACTAATGCCATGATCACTCGAAGAGAATCCTTCTTTGATACGGGAGAAAAAGTCTCTCTGTAATCAATTCCTTCTCTTTGAGTGAACCCTCGAGCAACAATTCTAGCCTTATGTCTCTCAATGTTGCCTAATGAGTCTTTCTTTGTCTTAAAGACCCACCGACATCCAATGGCTTTTACACCATCGGGCAACTCAACAAGATCCCAAACTTTATTAGACGCCATAGAATTCATTTCATCTTTCATGGCACTCATCCACAAGTCAGTATCCATTGAGTTTGTGGCCTGTGAAAACGTAATTGGATCATTGTCAACTTCAACATTATAATCCGATTCTTGCAAATACACCTCAAAATCATCAGAAATAGCTGATCTTCTTGCTCTAGTGGATCTTCTTAAAGGAACTTGATCAATGTGTCGATCACCTACATGTTCCTCATTTGCATTGTTATCCATTAAATTATTATCAGCATTTTGTGGAATTTCATTGGTTAGTGGTTGCATTACGCCCGGTTGAACTTGAGGGACGTGAACAATAACCATCATGTCACTTGAGTTAATAGGGGAAACTTCAACATGATCCTTTTCAGAAACGGTGTCCCGAAATTGATCACTCCCACTAACCAAGTCATTCTCAAGAAATTTTGCATTTCTCGATTTCACAATTCTGGTGCTATGAGACGGACAATAGAATCTATACCCCTTAGATTTTTCGGCATATCCAATGAAATGCCCACTTATAGTCCTTGGGTCAAGTTTCTTTTCTTGTGGGTTGTAAATTCTCACTTCGGACGGGCATCCCCAAATGCGCATATGGCGCAAACTCGGTTTCCATTCTTTGAACAACTCAAAAGGCGTTTTAGAGACAGCCTTGGATGGAACCTGGTTTAATATATACGCTGCCGTCTTAAGGGCTTTAATCCACAAAAATGGTGGAAGTGTAGTATTGCTCTGCATACTTTTCACCATTTCCATTAAGGTCCTATTTCTTCTTTCTGCTACACCATTCTGATCTGGAGAACCAGGCATAGTGTATTGGGCAACAATCCCATGCTCTTGAAGAAATTTTGCAAACGGACCACATGCTTGTCCATTCTCGGTGTATTTACCATAGTATTCTCCACCCCTATCTCATCTCACAATCTTAATGTGCTTACCACATTGTGTCTCTAGTTCAGCCTTAAACAATAAATACTTATTTGTCGCCCACGTGGCATGAAACTTGGCGAAAAAACTGGAATGTCAAGTGTCGTTGTCTCGTGTTCTGGTTACGAGACCGACTTTATTTATTAGTGACTAGTTTTGTGCTCAGGCAATGCCCGAATGGTTGATAAGATTTATGATAAAGTTTTTGCATAAATACTAAATACGGTCATATAATCCCTTTTGATAATTTATATAGTAGTGTACTTTTGTAGTTTTGTTTGTAAATAGATATCTATGTTATTATTGACTTGAAATTATTTTTATTGAACTTAATTTATTTTTACTGAACTGTAAGTATTTTTAGCAAACAAAAATTATTTTTACTGATTAAAACTTATTTTTACATATTCTCTATTTTTTAATAAATTAAATATATCTATGTTATTATTAACTTGAAATTATTTTTATTGAACTTAAATTACTTTTACTGAACTGAAAGTATTTTTTACCAATATTCACTATTAATTTTTAAAATAAATTAATGTATTATAAATGGATCTTATTTTAAAAAACTTTTTAAAATGAATTTTATGATGGAAATAGAACCGAGTTATTGGATATTTATTAAAAGTTATGATTAATTTTGTATATATGAAATATTAGAATATATCGACAATAAAACTCTATATAATAATTTTATCTGAAAAAATCGATCTAAAATTCGCTTACTTAGCATCATATGTGTCACAATATACCTTGTTTTCACCAACATGGCGTGACAGTTGGCGAATAACTGGAATGTCAAGTGTCGATGTCTCATAGCCTTGCTGCGAAATCAGCTTTATTTATTAGTGATATATGATTTGTGGTGTGTCACTGTGTTGTTATAAGTAAAATTCTATTGTCAATAAAAAGATAATTTTTTAAAAAAAAGAATTATAAATTATTTTAGGAAAAATTCATGAGAATAATCCCACTTTTGGGGCATTTCTTTTAAATAATCCCACCTTTTGGATATTTTTTTAAATAATCTCACCTTTAACCCAATCCGCTCAGAATGGTCCCGGGTGACCAGTAACTGGTTGAAGAGGTATTTTTTTTACTAAGTTTATTTTACACGTGTCACAATTTGATTTGTCCAAAATTAAAAAAAAATTAAAAAAAAAACAAAAAATCAGAATACCAAGCAAGCTTCCCCTTCCCCCATCGGTCCACCCTAACCTCCACCACCACTGCCAAGCCCGCCGCCCCTCCCTCGTTGGAATGCCGCGTCTCCCCACACGACCACCTCCCCTTTTTATATGCTCAAATTTTCCGATTTTCGTGAAGAATTCTAAAAAAAATTAATTTTGGCCTTTTTGTTTGGTCAAGCTACTCTTGTAATTCGTTGTACCAAATGAATATACGTTGGATTGTGAGCATTTTGATACAAATTTCATGAATTTTGGTGAAGAAATGAGTAGGTTCCCATTATGCCATGAACTTCATACGTGAACTTCAATGGAGTTTCCTCCATTGTTGTCTTCTTTAAGTAAAAATGTTCATGCCTACTTGTTCTTTTTCCCGAGCACCTAGAAAACCACCGCTACCACGCCGAAAAACGCGGGGAAGGACAGAGGTGGGGTTGTCGAGGAAGGAGGGGAAGGGGAGGGAGGCCGGCGGCAAGGGGTTGGCTGTTTTTTTTTTAGTTATTTTTTTTACCAATCACAGGTCGCCACATGTCATGTAACTTGTTATAACAGGTTACATGACCGATTGGGACCATTAAAAAGATTGGGGGGGTAAAGGCGGGATTATTTAAAAATATCCCAAATGTGGGATTATTAAAAAGAAACGTCCCAAAGGTGGGATTATTCCCATGAATTTTTCCATTATTTTATGTATACCTTTTTATTCTAAACTTATCTATCCAATCTAATCTAATTACAATAACCAGCTGATTTATAAAATTTTAAGATAACATTTTTATTTGAATGTTAAATACAGTCAAATAATTCGTTCTGATAATGTAGGATATTTGGACATATTATATCATATGAAGTGTACTTTGTATAGTTTTGTTTGTAAATAGATCTATGTTACTCCGTATTATTGACTTGAAATTATTTTTATTGAACTTCAATTATTTTCACTGAAATGAAAGTATTTTTACCAAACCAAAATTATTTATACTGACTAAACTTATTTTACTGATTCTCTAATATTTTTTTAAAATAAATTAAA